AAAAATTTTCCTTACCGGCAAGAGGTCTTCCAGTTCGTTTCATGAATAAACGAGGTCCTATCAATTTATCCAACTTCAGCAGATCTTTAAGTGGTCGCTTTATATCTAAAGAGAGACAGGCGCGACCACTGTGTCGGCTACTGTAGCAGGCGTAGATAATGGCGTCTCCAATCCGAGTGATCCAAGCTGTCTTGAGCTGCAGCGAAAATTCGATCTTCCAGCCATTTCCGAGTCAAACTGGTGAAAATTTAATAATTCCCTCACTAACCTAAATTGATCTGAAGCAACCACTAGCTATTCAACGAGATTTTCTCGTCGTAACGCTCTTCTAATTATTCTGAAGAGGGCTGAAACATTAACAGTGTCCTTCTTTGGCGACGAACCAAACCACGGTGGGTCGACTTGTCCACCATTTCTATCGACCAGATCGCGGACGCATACTTCTGCAATGTCCTCACTCACTCATCATGAACTCTCTTGATTTAAAAAACCAGTCGTTTGATACAGTGTACCAGATTTTGCCTGGATCGAGCGACAGTCCGAAAATTCGGCGAAGAGGATATAGCTTCGCCGCCATATCTCGTTCGCGCCAATTTTTGTATTACGCGCGACGAAGCACTTTGTTATATATCAAGTGTGATTAGAGTCGACAACAAACCATTTATGGATACATGATCTGGTTTTCATTTGTACAGCGCACTCAAGATATACTTAGCACCTTCATCCACCCCAAACTGTGCAGTCATGACAGATCTGTAATTTTGCCAATTCGATTTTCTTGACTACCCCGGAAGTTAGAACCCATACCCAGCTGTGAATTTCAAAGTCGCATAAAGCTCGTCATGTAAAGGCGCAAACCGGAAATGACAAAGTCCTCTTCGAACCGCAGTCAGCCTGGAGTCAAACAGGATCAGGCCGGCTGGATGTTGTTCGATAAAGATGCAAAAAAGAATTAATACAAATAATGTAAAACGAGATATGTAGGACTGGATGCTTTAGAATGGAGTTTTGACGAAAAAAAGGATCGCGTCCGCTTTACTCGGCAACTTCACGTTTGATCCAACGTCACAATTGTCACGCAATTGAAACATTTTGCTTTTCGCCAAGACAGTATCGAGAAATGAAACAGAAAACTCATTGGCTTAAATAGAATTAAACGCTATTAAATACTTTTCATTATTCTTGTAAATTTTATGCTGAGGCCGTCACTGAGAGCCCTTCCTTCTCTAAAACCGTTCGGCGGTACGATCTCTACAACTGATTTGCGTCATGCAAATTCGTGACCTCCGGCCACATGGGATCGCAAAGCTTTATGATTTGCCGGCACGTTTCTGAATCATCCAAATGTTTATTTCATATTATTTTAGTATAAGGACCAAAATTTGTGCCAGCATGTAGTTTGACATGATGCCACACATACCAAGACGCGGTTTGAAGGTTTGAAGTTGGTCGATTTTTCGCTTTTTGCAACAAGCGTTTGACAGCACTTTGTTAAAAATCATGGGAATTTTAAAATTAAACCAAAGCTCTTTAAAATTCCACAATAAAAATCAAAGGAATTATAATTTGAAGAAAAACACCCCCGATTTCTTACGAAACATCCTCCTTCAGTACCGGCACGCTCGATATGATAAGGAAAACAAGAGCTAGTGATTGACATCACGCTCGACATGATAAGAAAAACAAGAGCTAGTGATTGACATCACGCTCGACATGATAAGAAAAACAGGAGCTAGTGATTGACATCACGCTCGACATGATAAGAAAAACAAGAGCTAGTGATTGACATCACGCTCGACGTGATAAGAAAAACAAGAGCCAGTGATTAACATCACGCTAGACATGATAAGAAAAACATGAGCTAGTGATTGACATCACGCTCGACATGATAAGAAAAACAAGAGCTAGTGATTGACATCGATAAGAGATGCTCTTGGCGATTGGTTTTGAAACATATCCCGTCAACATCAACTTAACATTTTCAAAAGAGCCGTTGTTGGGTTTAGCCTCAATGCTCAACAAATTACACATCAGAGGGTACAGGTCTACGGTGTTGAAAGGTGACACTTCCGGCAATCCCCTTCTGGAAGGCAGGACCACGTTCAAAGAACACAGAATAAGTTTTGGACCTTAATGCAGGCCAACCATGATCTCCCACTGTCCAATTCCCTTGGCGTGTCTTTGAACGCTCTGTCCTAATGACCCATTCAACGTCAGGGTCGACGAAAATCGGCGGGATTCTGCGGTTGTGCTTCCAGTGATATTCTGCTGGAGTGTCTTCCTTCTTGTATACCCTCATGTGAACATTGTTAGCACTTGTACGATTTCTGTAGATGTCGTCAATTTTTTTATCCTCAGCCCAGATGTGACCGACGGCTCCTCCTTCAACGAGCTGGAAGTCATCAATGTTGATGTAGTCCTCCAGGAAAATCTGCTTTGTTGACGACGTATCAGTCATGCTGTGGTCGCTAACAAACAAGATGTTGACTTTGTCATACATGTCTCTGTTCTTGAGACTGTTGACAAGGTATTCTACTGTATCACTGTCTACTTTCTCCATAGCGGCTTTGTATTGCTCACTCTTTATACTGAATCCATGTCCGGTACTGTCCGGATTTTCTGAATATAAGAGTATTAGGTTCGGTGGGGAATCTGTCGTCAGCCACTTTATGATCTTATCAATTCTGTTTGGAACAGGTTCACTGTGGTTCACCATATAATGAAGATAAGGCGGCCATCCATTGCTGCTGTTTCTCATGTTTGGTAAGTCTTTTGGGTCAATCTCACTGCAATTGACGGGGCAGAGTGCGTGCTTCTCGTAAAATGAGGGCTTCTGTGGGTAACCTCCAAATCCCGGCCAGAAATAAACCCCGCTTCGGCCGCCATTTTTCTGCAGAGTCAACCAAATTGGCTCAGACGCACTGTAAAATTTAGGGTCGTAATTACTGCAATCATAATCTAGGACAAAATTTTCTTGGTAAACTGGATCAAAGAAGTTATTTGATACAATGCCATGGCTTTCAGGATATAACCCAGTGAGGAAGCTGTGATGGTTTGGCCATGTCTTGCTTGGCACAACAGTTTTGATGAACTTTGCTGTGACCCCATCTCGAGCGATTGAGTCGAGATTAGGTGTATTTGCAAATCCTTCGTCAATGTATTGCCATCTCAAGCCATCCATTGACACAACTATTAATGTTTCCGGATCTTTTCCATTGCTGTATTCAAGACTGGTTTGTAAAATTAGGAGGGAAAGAAAAGGAATAATTCTTCCTTCTAGTGCAGCCTTGTACTGCGTCATCTTGCACTTATGCAGGTGTTTCTGTGACTGTTCCGTGAACATGTGAACATCACTTGATTAATATAAATAAATTAATGTTTGTCAAACTGACAGCTGGATTAGAGAACTAAGCCAATCCCTGAGAGACTGGCTGATGTGTCGTTTGAATGATTGACTGGATGCATAATAATATTCTCCTTTCAGATAGGGACAAAGAAGGCAACAACAGTAGAAATCGGACAGGAAGATGATATTATCCCACAATATCCTTCGGGATTTTTTAATTGCTGTGTGCCAGACTGGGTTGTAAAATTAGTGCAGGAGGAAAGAATAAATCCTTTTTCAATAAAAGTCTTGTACTGTGCCATTTTACACTGACACGATTAAATATTCAGGAGGGGCTAATTCAATATTGATGAGTTCTCGAGATATCTACGGTCAAATAGTTTCATGCCATTATAAGGCTGTTATTGTGTGTTCCATGTAGTTAACAATCTATTCTTAGTATTTTGCATATATTATTTCCCTTAGCTTCTCCGGAAAACTGGGTTCTAGTTTTATCTCTATTGCGCAATACCTGAGCCCACGCTTCCCGAAGCGAAAAGAAAATCAACATGGCGGCGGCGACGGCGACGACGAAGAAAAAGAGATTTAGTAAAAAATCAAAACAAAGCTGGAGAAAGCACACTGATATTAAAGATGTCGAGGAACATCTCGAAGAGGCAAGACGCGAAGAAAGAACTGGGTTAGTTGAGTTGTAATCTGACTATCATAACCGTGCTTTGATTAAGCTGATGCCAAACAGCTGAGCTCTACACGTGGAATTTTGGCCATCGTAGTTTCAGATTTCCTTGAAATTTAATCATTGCAATCGATGAAGTTGGTAATGATGAGTTATCGGAATAATGTTATCGTTTCAGCGTTTTCATTGGAAAAGCTTCTTATCTTGACTTGAAGAAAAAAATTACGACATAGGCCTACGTTAAGGGTAAACGTTAATGTATAGGAAGAAATTAAAACCAAAGAGTGTGTAAAAGATTACATGCAGAAATTCGACACTAACTGGTAAATTCTAATCAGTTACCTTGCCTGCTTTGACATCAGTGCATATTAATAATGAAGGTATTGGTGGCCCTGTAAGCAGGTGCCTATACAGTACTGTTTATGATCTGAGTATTTCTATATAATTTGTGGTAGACAATGAACTCAAAAGTTTAGCAACTGGGTACTCATTTATTTGTTATAGCAGGAGTAATTAGACTTCTATCGGGGTTTACAATGATCTGTAATTTAGTAAGCGTGCCTGAGTTATCACTATGCCTAACCAGACAACTATTTCAATTCACAAAGGGGTAGCCAGTGCTGATTAGAACTTCAGTTGTTATTTACCGTATTTACCCATGTATAATATGTGCCCATGTATAATGCACACCCTTTTTTTTAACCAAATTTATCAGAAAAAAGTTTTTCACAGCAAAAAAGACACGTTAAATCTTCTTACATTTTATTATTTATTATGACAACAAGAATTAGAAATTTACTATATTGTTAACACTAATATCTTAAAGAAATAGTATTTGCTGAGGCTAGGAATGCGTTTGAATAATTTGAACTACTTGCAGAATAAGACATCACGTCTCGAGTATCACATTCGACACACGTGTAGAAACTGTAAAAATAAAATAACAATGCTTTGGGAATCTTGAAATATATTTTGCTCTTCGAGCCTCATCAGTGAAAAAGAACCTCATGTAAGATGCATTAAAAATGTTTTATGAAAAATGTGAAAACAATATTGCGCAACAATATGTCTGAAAAGTATTGAAGATTTTCTGTCAAATCATTGTATTTTTAGAATTTTCAACATAACACTATGCAATTTTCTGATTAAAAATGTTTCAAACCATTTACTGCAAAATGTTTTATGTTCTCAGACATCATGTAAGCCAACATGGGGTAACTTATTTTACGTGGTCTTGTGTCACTATCGTGTGGGGGATGCGGAAACAATTCTACTCGCTCTTAGACTTCATCAATGAACCTTCTGGTACTTTGTTTATCTGAACACCCTAAGATAATTGCCTCAGTATGGCATCATTGGAGTAAGAGACGGTAACGTTTGTCTCGAATTTCTGCATACTACTGTTGCGTTTCTCTTTAGAATGCTTCCACAAGACTGACCGCTCTTCCTTTCTGGGTAGTGACTTCATGTGTTCTTTGCCTCTTGTAAATGCACTCCTTGACGTTTCTCCAATATAGACATCGCCACACTCCGTACATTTTATCTCATAAGTCACACTCTGTCGATCACAGAGTGTGACTTAAAGCATTGTTATTTTATTTTCACAGTTTCTATATGTGTGTCGAATGTGATACTTGAGACGTGATGTCTTATTCTGCAAGTAGTTCAAGTTAACACTAATATCTTTTGCTACTTAGTTATTTCTGACATTATTGAGACCAAGCTTTAGGATTTCAAGCGAGGCCTAACTAATTTAAAGATTCCATGGCCTGGTAAATATTATGTAAGCCCAACAATATGTCTGAAAAGTATTGAAGATTTTCTGTCAAATCATTGTATATTTAGAATTTTCAACATAACACTATGCAATTTTCTGGCCGTAAAGTTTTTTTTTTGCTTTAATATTTGTATTTTTGTATTTTATCGTAATCAGACATTACATGACACTTAGCATAAACAACAATATACCCACCTTGAATTCCACCGCGTGGGCTTTATACACCTAAGAAATTTGCACATTTTTTGCTCAGAACAGAAAATCAAGAACTGCTTTAAATAAAGCTTTTGTCCCAAAATATTTCTTTCTCACTTTCATCTTACTTTCTCATTGAAAATTTCCATGTAACTTGAGATTTCTTCACACACGGCCAAATTTCCATATTCACTTTGAAATCTGATCCACATACCTGTTTGCACACTTGTGAAAATAGTCAGCAATTTTGTCTTTCCTCTTGATTTGAGAGCAGAAAATTAGTATGCACCTAGAATTTTTCATTGAAAATAAGCAATTTAGTTAAAGCTTTAAATGTGTTACTTTCTTTGTTGTGTTTTTAATGTATGCAAATTAGGACATGCCTGACAAACAATGGAATCTCTACGTATGATGCACGATGTATAATATGCAGTGCAATTTTAATGGTTATTTTCATAGAAATAAAGTGCATATTACACATGGGTAAATATGGTAGTCAGTGTTTCAGTTCCAAGTTGTCACGAACTATAACAATCATTTATGATATTCCTTCATTATCCAGTGGTCCAGTGTCTGAGAAACCAGATGAGGGCTTGTATTTTCTGGACAACAAAGCTGAAGAGAGAAAAAGTACTGAAGGTACAGTAAAATGAATGCAGTATAAGTATATAAAGCAGGATTGAATATTGAACATTGTTGTGAATGGATCTGTATCATCATCTTTCCATGGCCTCTGGTTTGCTCTGGTGTGTATAATGGAAATTCAATCAGAATTGGCTGTCTCATTAAGGCATCTGTAACATTGTTTTGGACTGTCATTGTGATTGAGGATTTGGATGTAGAGTCATACACTGAAGTATTAAGGAATGCTAAGAGGATTTTAAGGTCCACCCACTGAGTAAGGGAGTTTCATGAGATTTTTGTCATTACTCAGTGTATGGTGCCGGGAAAGGCTTAGACTCAATGCAGTGGAGGCATTGCCAACATTTAGGACTGACCACTTCAGTAGTCAGACTCAATTAAAAAAAATATTGAACTCATTTTTCCTCCCTGATTTTACTGATACTCATGCAAGAAGTGCACTGGAACAGATGCAACACAAAATTTCTTCACAAAGTAAGACTGAGATAAAAAATTCTCCTTATGAATGAGCCATTCTGATTAGCTACTTCTAATAAGCAGTAAAAGCTCTTCATCTTGACTTAGAAAGCCACCTGTAGTTTGATTAAATTGAGTGTATTGAAATAAGTGAATTTAATTCATCCTCATGCAGATTTTTGTTTATGTGTGTGTCAATCTTATGTTTAGGCAAATCCAAAGATCGATCAAGAAAACGAAAAATCCTGAAAGCTGATCAGCTTCTTTTACCTGAAAGCAAAATTAAACCAATTGGAAGCAAGAAAAGAAAAGTTCCTCAAAAGGGCAAGCAGAGGAAAGATTTCAGTAACTCATCTACTGATTCTAAAGTTGAAGAGGAGAAAGGCAAACTTGTTAAAGCTCAGATAAATCAAAACAAGCCCAAAACAGTGGCAGTCTTTGATCTATGGGGAACACAAGGTAATCAGTGAATAGATATTACTTACTATGGGTGTTATTATATTCATGAACATTTTTGCAGGTTGAAATGGAATACAGGTGAAAAGTACACAAACTAAGTTGATATGTATTTTTCTCTGTTGATTAAGAAATAAAGGAAGATGTGAATTAAAGTTGTGTACTACTAAATTATGTTGACCTAAATTCACAGTAATGTTTTGAAAATTTTGGGATACATAAGTATGAGAGAGGTTGTGCTAGAAAATAGATTTATATGAAATATTCATATAATAATTGTAGAATATGTTATTGAGTCAATTTTTTACAGATGCTGAAATGGTGGAAAAACTTTTATGTGACTATGAAATCATGTGGCTCACAATAGATCCTTGGTGCAAACAATCATGTGCTATGATAAGATTAATTTTTATGCTTCTTACATGTTTTTGGTATGATTTGGCTTTTAAGATACTGTAATTGAAGTTCATGTTGTAAATGGCATTGATTATTCTGTTTTTAATTCATGTCAGAAGATATTCCAACAGGTGATGAACATTTCCTCTCAACTACTAAGAGAATTGAAGTTAGGGTAATGGCATTTCTTTTCATTTTAAATTGCAGATTAATTTTTTCTTGTCTTTTTGGGACACTTTCTTGCTCAATTAATTATATAATTCTTTTAATATTTGTAGAAACCAAAGACAATCAACAGGAAGACTTCTAAGTTAGTAGCTGTTGAAGTTTGTTCACCTGGTGCATCATACAATCCAACTTTTGAAGATCATCAGGTAAAGAGCATTCCTGTTATAAAATAATACAAATTTAGAGCAACGTTTACTAAGGCAGGTCCATTGAAATGTTACTCACAGTACAGGAAACGGTCAAGGGAACAGTTATTTCAGGCAGACCCCAGAGAAAATCAATAATAATTGTGATCTAAAATTTGAGCTTTCTTAGGCAGGTATGATAGTTTTGTGGATAGTTTGGTCATGATAATGTCACCTTTTTTGCTTTGTGTTACACTCTAAGGGGAAGGAGCGATGTTCTCCAGAACTTTGAAATGGAATTATTTGAGGAGAGTGATCTTGACATCATAAATAGATCATCACTTGACAGTTTGCTAACCCATGACAGGTTTGACTTTTTATTGAACCACCAGCCAAATATGAGTCTCGAATTTTTTATGTGCCATTCCAAAAGATTAATTACTAAAAATATAGCGGTTTCACCCAATAGACCCTAAAGTAGACAATGATCTGGATTTATTCCTTCTACTGAAGAATTGTGCACCCCCACTCCCTCTGCCCTTCGTTGCATATGGCTTTGATTCCCTCCTTTGGAAAACACAGCAATATATCTTTCCCTCATCAATGTTGTGAATTTACTTTCAGTCTCTGCTTCAATTGGCCCATGATGTAGAGTTAAGAAAAGTGAAAGAAATAGAGAAACTGAAAAGACAAGTGAAGCTCTTGACTGCAGAGGAGGCAGCTAATCTGGTAATCATCAAGAGTAAAAAATTTTCAATTTTTTTGTGAAGCTAGCTCTAAAGGAGCTTTTAAGAAAAATTCTCGTGACTTTTTGCTCTTGACAATGGAAACAGAGGACGATTATGTTGAAGTGCCCATTCTTCTACAAGAAAAGGCAAATTCTGTATCCTTGAATCAATGTACTAATAATCGATAGGTCCTCTTAGGAGTAAATTTGATTGTAATATTATTCTATAAGACTATATATTTTGTAACCTTTTAGTTAGCTTGTTTTTTAGTAATTCTTATTTATCCAGATAGTTTATTTAGTTACTTTACAATTATTATTAGTTAGTTAGTTAGTTAGTTACTTTACAATTATTATAATATCTGTTATGACTGCTGTAACCTTACCTCTCTGCCCGCCTCGTCTAGCTTTTGCTATTTGCGGGTGGAGATGGCAAAATGATGTGTATGAAATAGAGTTCATTAGCATCAATTTAAAAAATTATTTTTTAATCAAAAACGATATTACGACCCTAGTGATACAGAGGCTGGTGTAGAATACAAAAAACTTTTATAGTATGGTTATACATGTATTATAATAGTTTTGTCTTGGATTGTTACACAAGTCTTTCTTTCTGATTAGTCACCATAGATTTTACCTTCATTTTCATGTTCAAGTTAGCATTTGTTTGTAGCTCAGATGCTAAGTTAATCCATTGAACTACTTCAAATTTGTGATGTTTAGCCAACATGGAATGAAGAGATGAGTCAAGGACTATTTGCTGAAAATGATGCAGAGGGCGATGCTGATGAAAGTGATTATGAAAGTACCCTTGCTGCACCCGTGAGAGCTTTCAACAGAAAAACAAAACAGCAGAGGAGGAAAGAAAAAGAGAAACAAGAGGAAGTAAGTTAATGAGTAAATTCTATAGTGGTCTTTTGTTAAATTAACTCTTACCCTAAGAGTTTGCAGAAATGGCCCAAGACTGGAATCTTGTCATTACTCAGAGTTTGTAAATATTACAGGGAAAGATAAAGGCACAAGTGTGATTACAGTATCTGATCCATTATGCTCATGAAAACTTGATATATGTCTTTTAGTTGAAGAGACTTGAGACAGAAAGGAAAGAAAAGATGCAACAAAATGAGATTTTTAGGTTGGTGGAAGCTGATATGTGTGCTTGAATGTATCAACAATTATTATGTTAAACAAAATTAATTGTTATTTTGTGTAGGGAATTGTGGTCGTATTTTCATTGAATCTCCTTTACATATTTCACGTAATATGAACCTCATATAATACTTTTGATGAAAAATTGTACTAATAACAGATGAAGATCATCTAGGAATATTGTGCGTCCTCCCATTTAATATTTAAACCCTGTGCATTACTTGACAATACTTTGAGCCGTGGAGGCGCGGTGGCCTCATGGTAGGTACGCTCGACTCCGGATCGAGTGGTCTGGGTTCTAGCCCCGGCCGGGACATTATGTTGTGTTCTTAGGCAAGACACTTTACTCTCACAGTGCCTCTCTTCACCCAGGTGTATAAATGGGTACCGGCAATTTAATGCTGGGGGGTAACCCTGCGATGGACTGGCATCCCATCCAGGGGGGAGTAGA